TTTTTTTTTTTTTTTTTTTTTTTTTTTTTTTTTTTTGAGACAGAGTCTCACTTTGTTGCCCGGGCTAGAGTGAGTGCCGTGGCGTCAGCCTAGCTCACAGCAACCTCAATCTCCTGGGCTCGAGTGATCCTTCTGCCTCAGCCTCCCGGGTAGCTGGGACTACAGGCATGCGCCACCATGCCCGGCTAATTTTTTTATATATATATCAGTTGGCCAATTAATTCCTTTCTATTTATAGTAGAGACGGGGTCTCGCTCAGGCTGGTTTTGAACTCCTGACCTTGAGCAATCCACCCGCCTCGGCCTCCCAAGAGCTAGGATTACAGGCGTGAGCCACAGCGCCCGGCAGCTACTTGTTTCTTGAAGTGAGTCTCTGTGGGAGCCATCTAGCCAAAGTACTGTTCAGTTCTTTGTGGTTGGAGCAAGTGGCTCTGTTGGTCACCCCACCTATAGTGGCATTACACTAGCAGGGGCTAGGATTTTGAACACTTTTGCAATCACATTTATGATTAAATTCTACTCTTCCTGCAAAGGTCCCTGGTTTGATAGAACTTTTGGAATATTTTCCTTGTCCTTTCATCATTCCCAGGGAATTGAGAGAATTATTTAAGTTATTCAACTCTTATTCTCAAAGGGGTTTTGGTCACCCCTGTAAATGAGTTCAGAACCTGGACATCCCAATGGGTTGTCATGCTGGTTTGATTTTTAGATTTGGCTTGGTATACATGGTCTCCCGTCTGTGCTAGGGCTACCTGTGAATTTTGCCATGCTCTATCTCATAAGTTATCTTGTTTATAAGCAGTTCTACCATGGATTGATTGGTGAGGTTGATTACCCTATCATGAACCTTTCTTGTCTTCTGTAAATTATTCTCATGGGTAGACATGTTATTTTGTCTTCCATTTTGCGAGGAGGTAAAAAAATGAGATTTCCTTGGGACAGCTTTTTGGGGCCGTTATTATTCTTGACTTCTAGTCTTTGCCCTTTACTTTAATGTCTTGGGTAAGTCAGTTCCCTGGTTTTAGTCTCCTCTGTAAAGGAAGGATTACTTACAGACTCTAAGAGAGGGACAGCTGTATAGTTTTTGGGTGTGAAGTGTTTTGTAACCTGATAAATGGCCAACTTCTCATATGGGATTTATGCTCTGGTCAGATTCCAGGGATGTGACTATATCAGCTGTCAGTAAACTTTGGCCCATGAGTCAGATCTGATCCATGGCCTATTTTTGTGTGGCTCACAAACTAAGAATGTTTTTATATTTTTAAAAGGTTGTAAAAATCAAGAAAATGAGAAGACAAGTCACGGATTGGGAGAAAATATTTGCAGAAGACATATCTGAAAAATGACTGTTATCTAAAATATAAGCAAGTGGCTCTGTTGGTCACCCCACCTATAGTGGCATTACACTAGCAGGGGCTAGGAGCTCTTAAAGAGAGCTCTTAAAACTCAACAATTAGAAAATAAGAGCAACCTGATTAAAAATATGTATAAAAGATCTAGATAGACACCTCACCAAAGACGATAACACAAATAGCAAGTAAGCATATGAAAAGATGTTCAACATCAAAAGTCATTAGAGGCCGGGTGTGGTGGTTCAGGCCTGTAATCCTAGCACTCTGGAAGGCCAAGACGGGCGGATTGCTCGAGGTTAGGAGGTCGAAATGAGCCTGAGCGAGACCCCGTCTCTACTAAAAATAGAAAGAAATTAATTGACCAACTAAAAATATATATACAAAAAATTAGCTGGGCATGGTGGCACATGCCTGTAGTCCCAGCTCACGTTGGGAGGCTGAGGCAGGAGGATCGCTTGAGCCCAGGAGTTTGAGGTTGCTGTGAGCTAGGCTGACGCCACGGCACTCCCTCTAGCCTGAGCAACAAAGTGAGACTCTGTCTCAAAAAAAAAAAAAAAGAAATGAGCTATCAAGCCATGAAAAGACATGAAGGAAACTTAAATGCATGTTACTGAGTGAAAGAAGCCAACCTGAAAGTGCTATGTAGTGTATGATTTCAACTATATGACATTTTGGGAAAGGAAAACTATGAAGACAGTAAAAAGATCAGTGGTTGCCTAGAGTTGAAGGGAGGGAGGGATGAATAGGCAGAGTACAGGATTTTTAGGGCAGTGAAAATACTCTGTATGATACTATAGTGGTGGATACATGCTATACATTTGTCAAAACCCACCAAGAGGCCAGGCGCGGTGGCTCACGCCTGTAATCCTAGCACTCTGGGAGGCCGAGGTGGGCGGATTGCTCAAGGTCAGGAGTTCGAAACCAGCCTGAGCTAGAGCGAGACCCCATCTCTAATATAAGTAAATTCGCTAACTAACATACACACACACACACACACACACACATATACATACACACACACAAAAAATAAAATTAGCCGGGCATGGTGGCACATGCCTGTAGTCACAGCTACTCGGGAGGCTGAGGCAGCAGGATTGCTTGAGCCCAGGAGTTTGAGGTTGCTGTGAGCTAGGCTGACGCCACAGCACTCACTCTAGCCTGGGCAACAAAGCGATACTCTGTCTCAAAAAAAAACCAAAAAAAACACTACCAAGAGTAAACCCTAATGTGAACTCTTTATTTGGGTGATAATGATGTGTCACTAAAGATCCATCAGTTATAACAAATGTACCACTTTGGAGCGAATGTCATGCATATGTGGGGATGGGGGTATATGGGAACTTTCTGCAGTTTCTACTCAGGTTAGCTGTGAATGTAAAACTTGTCTAAAAAGTAAAAAGTTTATACATTAAGAAAAAAAGGTTGTCAAAACAAAGAAAAATGTGCACCAGAGACTGTTGCCTACTAAGGCTAAAATATTTATTATCTAGCCTTTTACAGAAAAAGTTTACCAAGCCCTGGACTCTATCACAGTGGAACTAGAAGATGACGTGTTCAGTAATGCCCAGTCCTTTAGTTCTCCTGGGCATTCATTGTCTCTAATGGTAAAGTTGTTCTTATGAATTTCTGTTTCATTTGCAGGTATATGAGTGACCAAAAGCTGCAAATAAAGACGGAGAGAGAGCAGTGCCAACTGGGAACAGGGCAAGGATGCCAATTCCTCCTCCCCCTCCACCCCCACCTGGTCCTCCCCCACCTCCTACTTTTAATCAGGTAGGTAGTCCTTCCATCAGGCTATCTCAACCTTTTTTTCTTTTTCTTTTTTTTTTTTTTTTTTTTTGAGACAGAGTCTCACTCTTGTTGCCCTGGCTAGAGTGCCATGGCGTCAGCCTAGCTCACAGCAACCTCAAACTCCTGGGCTCAAGCAATCCTGCTGCCTCAGCCTCCCAAGTAGCTGGGACTACAGGCATGCGCCATCATACCTGGCTAATTTTTTCTATGTATTTTTAGTTGGCCAATTGATTTCTTTCTATTTTTAGTAGAGACAGGGTCTCACTCTTGCTCAGGCTGGTCTTGAACTCCTGATCTCAAACGATCCGCTTGCCTTGGCCTCTCAGAGTGTTAGGATTACAGGCGTGAGCCACCGCACCCGGCCTTTTCTTTTCTTTTTTTTTTAACTGAGATAGAATCTCACTGTGTTGCCCAGGGTGGTCTCAAACTCGTAGACTCAAGTGATCCTCCTACCTCAGCCTCCCAAGTAGCTAGGACTACAGGTGTGTATCACCATGCCTGGCTTCTATCTCAAAACCTTTTAGTAATTAGATTAATGCTTTCACAAACTGTTTTTTTTATCCCTTTTGGTTAAAAATTCTAGATTTTCCAACTCATAGCTTTCTTATTCTGAGCCTGCTCTTTAAACCTTTTTATAACATCCCAGATCTTTAGTCCTAGTATTAATGGATATTAGGGTTTCCTTTTATAAGACATAGTGTGTACTCAATGACATGTGGTAGAGGAAGATGGAGAATAAACAAGTTTATCCTAATCAACTAGCTCTGATTCCTGAGAAGTCCTCTTCTAGGACCATAATGGCATACCTGGTTTCCTTGTCCTGGATCATTCTTAATGGAGATTTGGACAGGTGGCATTGGAGTAGGAACTAGTGTTTCCTTCTAAAACCATTTGTTCTAGAAAGGTCACTGTGTTATTTCTCTGGCATTTTTGAGAAAAGGAATGGGGATTCCTGGTGGTTGTTTCTTGCTATCATCTCATCTACTCTTCTACTCTTCTGCTCCAAATCAGTTCATTTGAAAGCCAGGTCCATCAGGTCTAACATCCTATAAAGAGAGGAGTTTATAGAATGTACTGGCACAAAGACTGAATGGTTCCAAAGGGGAGAAAAAAAAGCGATGTGGTTTCTGAACCAAGAAGGCAGCCACTTTAACCATATCTAGGGTGTGATACCTGGTGTCACTGGAAAAAGAGGGAACCTGTATGCTTTCTCATTTTTGTAAAATTTATAAGTAAAATTACCTTTATAAAAGAATAGCCCAAGTGCATGTGTGCATGTGCACATGTGTGTTTATGTGTATGTATTAGGTGTTAACAAATGAGAAATTGTGCCCTGAAGAGGACAAGTGGCTTTTCTATCCAAATGTTTCAGAACTAGGACTGGAGTTCAGGTCTGCCAACTTCTGTTTTTTTTCCCATAACCTCTAGTTTTCAGACATTTTGTTTAAGGATATATATGAACTTTTAATTAATTATATTTAATTTTATTTATTTATTTATTTTTTGAGACAGAGTCTCTCTCTGTTGCCCTGGCTAGAGTACCATGGCATCAGCCTAGCTCACAGCAACCTCAAACTCCTGGGCTCAAGCAATCCTTCTGCCTCAGCCTCCCGAGTAGCTGGGACTACAGACATGTACCACCATGCCCAGCTAATTTTTTTCCTCTATATTTTAGTTGGCCAATTAATTTCTTTCTATTTTTTTAGTAGAGACGGGGTCTGGCTCTTGCTCAGGCTGGTCTCTAACTCCTGACCTTGAACGATCCTCCTGCCCCCGCTTCGGTCTCCCAGAGTACTAGGATTAGAGATGTGAGCCACTGCGCCCAGCCTGAACCACTTTTTAGATGAAAAGTTTTGTGTGGAAGACCAGTAAATGCTTTCCTAAACTTTTATTCCTCATCTTTAGGATGAAAATAATGTAGTCTATGTAATAATTGTTTAGAGGATAAATTGAAGTAATAGGGAGACAATAGGGTATGTTAGATGAGATAAGATAAAGAAGGTATTTTAGAGGCACCATTGATGTTAGATTCTTGCTTTACTATTTCCTAGTTGTGTGACCTTAGGAAGCTTTTCAGCTTTTGGCCCACACTCTACAAATGGGGGTAGTGATAGTTATACCTTCCCCATAGGACTATTTCAAGATTTAAATGAGATAATGCAAGTAATGAGCTTAGCACAATGCCTGAGGCATAGTGGAGATTCAGTAAATTTTTGCCTTGATGATGGCAATGTGAATAGTGTCTTCCACACAAAGCCTAGTGCATGGATAACTCAGTAAGTGTTAGCTTAGTCCTCCCATCAGAAGCTTCAGAATAGGAGGGAGACCTGTGTCCTTCACAGAAGGTAGAACAGGACAGAAAAAGAGAACCAGAAGAATGATAATGCACATTGATAATTGCTTTTTGGCATATATATATCTGATGAGTTCTGGTAGGCATCTCATAGAATCTGGTTTGGTTTAAGTCATTTTATCCCAAGGCTTTTATCCCAAGCCTGTGATAAAACGAACTATTTAGCATGAACATACATTTCCCTCTTCTTCCAGGCAAACACAGAGCAGCCCAAGCTGAGTAGAGATGAGCAGCGGGGTCGAGGTGCCCTCTTACAGGACATTTGCAAAGGAACCAAGCTGAAGAAGGTGACCAACATTAATGATCGGAGTGCTCCCATCCTCGAGAGTGAGTCTAAACTTCACTTCCTAGTCACCCAGTAGGATCCCAAGATTTCCTTGGAGACTTGGCTGGGCTGTCATTTTTTTTTTTTTTTTGAGACAGAGTCTTGCTTGTTGCTCAGGCTAGAGTGAGTGCCATGGCGTCAGCCTGGCTCACAGCAACCTCAAACTCCTGGGCTCAAGAGATCCTTCTGCCTCAGCCTCCTAAGTAGCTGGGACTACAGGCATGCGCCACCATGCCCGGCTAATTTTTTGTATATATATTAGTTGGCCAATTAATTTCTTTCTATTTATAGTAGAGACGGGGTCTCGCTCTTGCTCAGGCTGGTTTCGAACTCCTGACTTCAAGCAATCCACCCGCCTCGGCCTCCCAGAGTGCTAGGATTATAGACGTGAGCCACTGCTCCTGGCCTGGGCTGTTATTTTTATTGTTGGGGCTTCAATGGGAGAGTTTTGTCTTGGGATATCCTTTGGCTTTCTTCCCATTTGTTCATTTGAATACCTTAGAAGTTTTTTCTTGACCCTTGGGAAGCATTCTCAGGGTTAAGATGACCTCCTACTGTAACTAATGCTTATTTAGGGCACATCCATGGCTGTTCTCTTTAAGGAGACTACCACATTCCTAGAAATCCCTGGGCTGAAGCCAAGAATGGTTGTATAATTGCTACAAGTGTCCATTCCTGTAGGCCTCTGGAGAGTTTGTTCACCCCTAGATTCCTCAGCCGTTAGCCCTCTGCCATCTGGAGAGGCGAATGCAGAGAGAACTCAGTTGAACATTTTTTTTTTTTTTTTTGAGGCAGAGTTTCACTCTTTTGCCCTGTCTAAAGTGCTGTGGCATCAGCCTAGCTCACAGCAATCTCAAACTCCTGGGCTCAAGTGATCCTTCTGCCTCAGCCTCCCAAGTAGCTGGTGCTGTAGGCATGCTCCGCAACATCTAGCTAATTCTTCTATTTTTAATAGAGACAGGGTCTCGCTCTAGCTCAGGCTGGTCTTGAACTACTGACCTAAATGATCCTCCTGCCTCAGCCTCCCACAGTGCTAGGATTGCAGGCGTGAGCTACCGGGCCTGGGCTGTTGCACATTTCTTTAATCTAGTTATCACTTTGCCCTAAATAAGAGAAGACAGGCTCTTCGTTTCTTTTGTTCTTTCATCACAGCAAAGAGTTTTATCCCTACATGAAGCTGTGGAGCAGAAGGGCCTAGTTTTTTAATAGAAAGGCAAAAGCAAGATTGATTTGTTTGCAAATTATAGCCCAGATAGAGGAGGAGTATCTCCTCAGGATTGATTTAGCCACCAGCCCAGAGCACATGAACTGAAAACCCTAATGGTGTGTTTTCCAGAGTCCAAAGCAAGCAGTGGCGGTTATGGCTCTGGAGTAGCTGCCCTGCAGCCCAAGGGAGGGCTTTTCCAAGGAGGAGTGCCGAAGCTTCGACCTGTGGGAGCCAAGGACACTTCAGGTACCCAATAAGTACTTTCTTAGGATGTTCGCCAAGTGTATTAATTTCTGAATTGTCCCAAGTGGGACATCTCAGGTTGAGGAGTGTGGTAGAGGTGAGAGGAAGGAGGCGTGGCAGCAGGGGAGGAGTTACAGAATAGAATAAAGCAAAAGGTGAGGGATTAAATAAAAATGTATTCAACTTGGATAAAGCAAATGTGGTATATCAATACTATTATACTATGAGTGTCTATATATGTATTATAGAATACTATTCAGCCTTAAAAAAGAAGGAAATTCTGTCATTTCTGACAACATGGATGAACCTGGAGGACATTATACTAAATAAAATAAGCCAGGCACAAAAAGACATATACTATGTGATCTCACTTATACTTGGGATCTAAAACAGTCGAATTAATTAAAATGGTGGCTTCCAGAGCCTGGGGGAGATCGGAGGTGGGGATGGAGGAAGGGGAGATGTTGGTCAAAGGGCACAAAGTTTCATTTAGAGGAGGAGTAAGTTTTAGTGATCTATAGCATGCATGGTGACAGTAGTTAATAATAATGCATATTTCAGAATTGCTGAAAGAGTACATGTTAAGTGTATTCACCACAAAGAAACAAGTTGTGAAGTGACAGATATGTTAATTGGCTTGATTTAATTATTCCACAGTGTATACCTGTAACATTACATTGTATCCAGAAGTATCTACAATTATTTGTCAAAAATAAAAATAAATTTAAATAAAATAGATAAAAATGTATTTTTATCTTACATCTTACATCAGCAAATTATGCAGGTAGTTTCCCTGCTGCCATGCAGGTTGTACTAAGGAGGCTGGGTGAAGTGGAGATACTGACCGCTATGTCTAGCTCTGTTGACCAGTGTCGTCCTGGTGTATTTTTAGAGAACCTAGCTGGTAAGTCAGCCCTGCAAGTCCCCAGTTCTCGAGCTGCTGCTCCAAGGCCTCCAGTGTCTACAGCCAGTGGGCGTCCTCAAGATGATACAGACAGTAGCCGGGCCTCACTCCCAGAACTGCCCCGGATGCAGAGACCTTCTTTACCGGACCTCTCTCGGCCCAATACCACCAGCAGTACGGGCATGAAGCACAGCTCCTCTGCCCCTCCCCCACCACCTCCAGGGCGGCGTGCCAATGCACCTGCCACACCTCTGCCTATGCACAGCAACAAAGCCCCGGCCTACAACAGAGAGAAACCCTTGCCACCAACGCCTGGACAGAGGCTTCACCCTGGTCGAGAGGGACCTCCTGCTCCACCCCCCGTCAAACCACCTCCTTCTCCTGTGAATATCAGAACGGGACCAAGTGGCCAGTCTCTGGCTCCTCCTCCACCGCCTTACCGCCAGCCTCCTGGGGTCCCCAATGGACCCTCCAGTCCCACTAACGAGTCAGCCCCTGAGCTGCCACAGAGACACAATTCTTTGCATAGGAAGACACCAGGACCTGTCAGAGGCCTAGCGCCTCCTCCACCCACCTCCGCTTCCCCCTCTTTACTGAGTAATAGGCCACCTCCCCCAGCCCGAGACCCTCCCGGTCGGGGAGCAGGTAAGTGTTTGGAAGCACCTTTTTTTCCTTTCATGATGTGAGTTGAGTTTATCTTTTCTCTTCAGCCTTTTCCCCAAAACACCCTTTCAGTGACTGAAGACAATAAGAATTTGTTTATTCATTCAGTTGTTTTATTGAGTGCCTTTTTATTTATCTGACTCTGTTCTTAGGGAAACAGCAATAAATAGAGAAGACAAAAGCTTCCTGTTCTGGACAGTCAAACAAATAAACTAGCAAAATATTTAAATACATAGTATGTAGTATGCTTTAGAGAAATACAAATAATAGCAGAGGAGTAAGACATAGTGTAGTGGATGCTAGTATGGTGATATTTTAAATTGGAGGAGGGGGTAGAGTCAGAAAAGTCTTTACTGATAGGGTGATAATTTGGCAAAGACTTGAAGTTATGGGGAGAATAGCTAGCTATTGCAGGCAGTAGGAATAACAAATGCAAAAAGCTCCGAGGCAGAATTAGTCTTTTTTTAAATTTTTTTTATTATCTTTTCTTTTTTTAGGTTTCTAGGACTTGGTTAACTGTCATACATAATTACTCTTGAGAGATCTTTTTGGGGAAAGCAATGGAGCCATGGTGGCAGGACTAGAATAAGTGTGGGGCAGAGTGGCAAGACATGGAAGTCAGAAAGTTAGATCTCAAAGGGAGAACATTGTAGGATTTTTTTTTTTTTCTTTGAGACAGAGTCTCGCTTTCTTGCCTAGGCTAGAGTGAGTGCCGTGGCATCGGCCTAGCTCACAGCAACTTCAAACTCCTGGGCTCAAGCAATCCTGCTGCCTCAGCCTCCCGAGTAGCTGGGACTACAGGCACGCACCACCATGCCCGGCTAATTTATATATATATATATATATATATATATATATATATATATATATATATATATATATATATATATATATATATATATATATATATATATATATATATATATATATAAGTTGGCCAATTAATTTCTTCCTATTTTTATAGTAGAGACGGGGTCTCGCTCAGGCTGGTTTTGAACTCCTAACCTTGAGCAATCCACCCGCCTCGGGCTCCCAGAGTGCTAGGATTATAAGCGTGAGCCACCGCACCCAGCCTACATTGTAAGATTTTGCAAAGACTTTGGGTTTCACTCTGTGTGAGATGGGCAGCCACTAGAGGGTTCTGAACAGAGAAGTAGTATGATTTGATTTACCTTTTTAAAAGACCACTAGCTTCTGTGTTGAGAGCAGACTGCAGGAGGACCATGGTGGCAAAAGGAGCCCACACAGGAGGCTGTTGCAATAAACTGGGTAAATGGTTAAGACCGCAGCAATTTTGGGAGAAGATAGTCATTCAGGTTTGGATAAGCTAGTTTGGGATGCCTCTTAGACATTCAAGAGGAGATAATGAATTGGTGATTGGCTATCAAACTCTGAAGTTAGGGGAGAGGTCTGGGCTAAAGAGATAATTTGAATGATATGGAAAACTACATACTGGATGAAGTCACCTAGGGAATGAGGATAGCTAGGAAGAGGCCTGAGGGCTGGGGCCCTCCTACATTAAAGGCAAGAGAGATGCAGAGTACCCAGCAGAGGGAACTGAGAAGAGCCTCTAGTGAGGAAGGAAGGAGAAAAACTCCAAGGTGGAGTGAGTGATTAGCTCTGTTCAGTGCTGCAGATGGGTGAGGTAAGTTGAAGACTGAGGACTGACACATTGGTCTTAGTAATGTGGGACCCTTTTTGAATAGTTTCAGTGAGTGGTAGAGGGTGAAGGTGAAAGCTAAATTGAGGCTGGGCGTGGTGGCTCACATCTGTAATCCTAGCACTCTGGGAGGCTGAGGCAGAAGGATCTCTTGAGCTCAGGCATTCAAGACCACCCTGAGCAAGAAGAGCAAGACCATGTCTCTTAGAGAGAGCGCGAGCGAGCAAGCGAGCACGCTACATTGGAGTGGACTCAAGAATACAGGAATAGGCCAGGCGTGGTGGCCCACGCCTGTAATCCTAGCTCTCTGGGAGGCCGAGGTGGGTGGATCGTTTGAGCTCAGGAGTTCGAAACCAGCCTGAGCAAGAGCGAGACGCTGTCTCTACTATAAATAGGAAGAAATTAATTGGCCAACTAATATATATAGAAAAAAATTAGCTGGGCATGGTGGCACATGCCTGTAGTCCCAGCTACTCGGGAGGCTGAGGCAGCAGGATTGCTTGAGCCCAGGAGATTGAGGTTGCTGTGAGCTAGGCACTCACTCTAGCCTGGGCAACAAAGTGAGACTCTGTCTCAAAAAAAAAAAAAAAAAAAAAAAGAATACAGGAATAGAAAGAGAGGAATTAGTGATATCTGTGTGGAAATCTCTTAAGGAGTTTGCTGTAAAGGGTGAGGGGTGAAGATAAGTGGAATGATTGCTAGAGGAGGATGCGGGGTTGAGACTTGAGGATTTTTTTACCCCACTTTGGGATATCTGTATTCTGATGGAATGAATAGCCTGAAACCAGTAGAGAGGGAAAAAATTTAATTGGGACAGAGGGAACAAATTGTAATATCCTTGAGGAGGCAAAAGAAGATAGAGTCTGGTCCATAGGTAAGGGGCTGGCCTTAAACAGCAACACGATAGTTCTATGGTAACGGGAGGGAAGGCAGAGCAAATGGGCATAGAAGCAAGTGGGTAGGTGGGTGTAGTGGCAGGATGGTAGGAGCATGTGGACAGTTTCTTCTAATTTGCTTCTGTTTTCTTGGTGAAATAAAAAGCAAGAACATCAGCTGTGAATGGGGTGAGGGAAGGGGAAGGTGAAGGAGATGTGAGGAGAGAGAAAAGGCATAAAATGGTCATCTGGAGCGTGGGACAGTGAATGGACTAGGGAAATGTGTGCTTGGATAGCCAACCACACTTGAGATTGGCCTACTTGAGAGTAGGGGCATACATTTCAAGTGAGATTAATCAGCATGGTGTGTGTTTATAGCAGTGTAAGGGTGGGGTTATATAATATTTAACCAGCATTAGCATTTTTAAGGTATGCATGACTATAAGGGAGAGGAGTGGGGCAGGGCGGGGATGAAGGGTGTAAGGGAGTGATTGTGATAATGGGCCAAGGAGATTATGCTGGGTCAGAAGGGAATTAAGAAAGCCTAGAAAAGGTAAAAGGTAGTGTGTCTTTTTACAAAATAGCATGAATGAAATGTGAGAGTAGAGGAGCCCAGGACTACTCTCTGGGCCTTATTGGGCCTTGGAGTTTTGGCTCTCATATCCTTGTATCACTGGACTTTGAGCCCCACACTCAACAAATGGCTTTTGAGCTTTTATTTTAAAGTCAGTCTGTACAGGTATAGAACATTGGTTTAAGAAGTTATGTTGTCAAGAAGCAGATATTAAAAACCCATTAGTCGGCCAGGCACAGTGGCTCATGCCTGTAATCCTAGCTCTCTGGGAGGCCGAGGCAGGTGGATTGCTCAAGGTCAGGAGTTCGAAACCAGCCTGAGCAAGAGTGAGACCCCATCTCTACTAAAAATAGAAATTAATTGACTAACTAAAAATATATATACAAAAAATTAGCTGGGCATGGTGGCACATGCCTGTAGTCCCAGCTACTTGGGAGGCTGAGGCAGAAGGATTGCTTGAGCCCAGGAATTTTTGAGGTTGTTGTGAGCTAGGCTGATGCCACAGCACTCTAGCCCGGGCAACAGAGTGAGACTCTGTCTTAAAAAAACAAACAAAAACCCCATTAGTCTGTGCTGCTGTTTGTTTAGGTATGTACAGATTTGCAGTCTAGGAGCTGGTAGTATAACATATGGCAGTCAAGCAGTAGTTTGGTACATTCCTGACCCCATATCTCCCTAGATTTGGCCATAAGGAGATAGTCCTAAGGTGGTCCTTGATTCTATAAAGTTCAAATTAAAAAAATTTTTTTTTTTTTGAGACAGAGTCTCACTTTGTTGCCCAGGCTAGAGTGAGTGCCGTGGCGTCAGCCTGGCTTCACAGCAACCTCAATCTCTGGGGCTAAGCGATCCTACTGCCTCAGCCTCCTGAGTAGCTGGGACTACAGGCATGCGCCACCATGCCCGGCTAATTTTTTGTATATATATTTTTAGTTGGTCAATTAATTTATTTCTATTTTTAGTAGAGATGGGGTCTCGCTCAGGCTGGTTTCGGAACTCCTGACCTTGAGCAATCCGCCCGCCTCGGCCTCCCAAAGTGCTAGGATTACAGGCGTGAGCCACCACGCCCGGCCTAAAAAAATATTTTTAAACCCTTTATTTGAGCAAAGCTCACATCTTTCTAACCTCACCCAGAAATAGCAGCAGAGAAAAACGAAGCTTCTGTGGGTTGAATTGAGTAGTTTTAAATGTCTGCAGACTTCTTGCTTCCCACTTCTTAGTTCTTTCTTTGTGGTTTCTTTAGAAAATTTTGAAGTTACAAGCCTAGTTCTTCTGTGCAATTAGCTATCACCAACTTTGAGTCCTGGTCCAGAGGCCTCCACTTGCTTTCCTTATCAGTAACCAGAGCAGCAGTTCTTAAGAAAGATACACTGGAGAAAAATTAAGATAGTTTAGTCAGAGATCATTTGAGTAGTGGTTTTATTTGTTGTATGACACTGGGCAGATCACTGATTCTCTGAGTTTTCCACATCTGTAAAATAGAAGTACATGTGAAAGTGTAGTGTGCTGATGAATGTTACTGGTTTTATGCAGAGGGCTTCCAGGTATTCATGGACTTATCTCTTTTATTAAATCATTTATAGTAATATTATGTGATAATATACTTTAGTCTCTGTGTGAATTATTTACATTTCAAAGGGTTGGCGTCTTTTGCCCAGAGACCCAAAAAAGCAGTGTTATTCGTCTGTAGAGTTTGTTTCCAAAATTTTTCTTTTGCCTGAGTAAAACAAATTTTTTCCATTTTTAAGGTAATTTTTTTATGATAAGAATTGATACCATCATGCTTTCCTCAAAATTGAGATTATATTGTAATTAATTTCTTTCTATTTATGGTAGAGACAGGGTCTCGCTCTTGCTCAGGTTGGTTTCGAACTCCTGACCTTGAGCAATCCACCTGCCTCGGCCTCCCAGAGAGCTAGGATTACAGGCGTGAGCCACCGTGCCTGGCCAACAAATGGATTATTTTTTAGGGACCAGGGTCCTGGCTCTGTCACTTGAAACAGTCTTAAAACTGGATCTGGCAAAGAGCCCAGAAGGTTATTTATTGGAGGTAGTGGAACCTGGTGGGGATGACCCTCCCTGAGGCAGAGAGCTGGAAGAGCCAAACAGGTTGCTCTTGTCCTGCTCTATTTTACCAGTTCAGATTGGCTTTTGTCACTGTCACCTGCCCAATATCTAGCTGATATCCTCGTGAACCTAACTAACCCTGTCTACATTACTTCCTGGCCATGCCCTAGGAGTAGATACAGATTCTCAGGGTCCTGAGGAATCTGGGTTTTAGGGAATATTTTAAGGGTGACCTGAAAGAGCTTCAGTCTGTGCTGGTTTGGAATGAAAACAAGGCTCAGAGATCTGCTGGGGTGTGTTAAGGAGATTTCTTTTTAATTATTGCATCCAGGGCCCCTGTTAATAATATGTAAATAGACCTTGAAAAGAAGAGAGTTGACATTGTGAGTTTCTTTTTGTTTGTGTGTGTGTGTGTGTGTGTGTGTGTGTGTGGCACTTTCTTGCTCTATTGTCCAGTAGACTGCTGCTTGAGGTTGCCGTAACGGCAACCTCAAACTCTGGGGGTCAAGCTATCCTCTTGCCTCAGCCTCCTGAGTAGCTTGGACTACATGCATGCGCCACCATGCCCGGCTAATTTTTTCTATATATTTTTAGCTGGGCAATTAATTTCTTTCTATTTTTAGTAGAGATGGGGTCTTGCTCTTGCTCAGGCTGGTCTCAAACTCCTGAGCTCAAGCAGTCCTCCCACCTCGGCCTCCCAGAGTGCTAGGATTACAGGTGTGAGCCACTGTGCCTGACCCACATTGTAAGTTTCTTATGGGAAGCAAAAGCTAAGGTTTAAGGGGCCCACTGTGCTGGAACTTTGTGCATACACACATCATCCCATTACTGTGTTACATGCTCAACTATGGTCACTACAAAAATTCTGACAGGAATTCAGGAGGAATAATAAGATACACTTTTACTACTAAAACAAGATTGTCTGTTAAGTCAAGTATTCTCTCCATGTACTATTTACGTTAACACATTGTTTATTAAATGTGGCCTAGGTACCAAAAGACACACTTCCAACCCACTGGGTTGTGATTCTAGTTGGGGAGATGAGATACAACCTAAGGTAGTTATGAAAAGCAGTTATAGGAAGTAGCGGGAAGAGCAGACTTGTGCTGAGTGTATTTTTATTAGATCTGTGACCTTAGACAACCTGAGTACCATTTTACTCATTTCTGAAATGGGAATGATAATACAGACTTTCCTAGGGTGGCTATAAGAATTTTTAAAGATGTAGTGCATATGAAATGCCTGGAATGTAAAGGATTCCCAGTAAATGGTAGCTGCTGTTATTGTTAATAGTTTAATGCAGAACATAGGAGTAATACAGCTTAAACACATCTTATTACAGTGATGTTGCCATTTCTTCAGACATGCTTCTGACATTAACTCAGTGGCAAATTTTTGTCTTTTAGGGATAAAAGACAAAATTTTTGAAAATGGCCAAAAAGCAGAGACAGACATAGGTATGAATATTTCCATTGTTGGTGGTGAGGCGACTTTAAAAATGAAATGTGACCATCATATAATGATATTTATGGCTCTGTCTGATAAACTGGCTTGGGAGGCAATTCTAGAAGAGGCATTTTAAATTTGTTGAGATCATGACTGGAGATATGTAACTTCCTGAGAACTTAGGTGGATCTGCTACTATACGTGTTTTGAAAATCACTCATTTTAGTCCATACTGTTAAGTGCTGTAACAGAATAAGTGACATAACCTGTATATGCTATGGGAGAGCAAACAAGGGACTCAGAATAGAGTGGATTGCTTTGGGGAAAGTCTTTAGAAGATGGGACTTGAATTTGAATCTTGAAGGACAGGTACCGTGTTTCCCCGAAAATAAGACCTACCCATAAAATAAGCTCTAGCAGGATTTCTAAGCATTTGCACAATATAAGCCTACCTCGAAAGTAAGACCTAGTGATGGGCATGGCTACTTAGCGTATCTGCACAACCCATGCATTTCATCTCGGAGCAGTAGAGAAGATGAGCAGCCCTTCTCATCTGCCGAATTGTGACAGCTACTATCCCAGAGGTGACCGGAAAGGTGCGGGCAGCCCCACCAACAAGGTCGGCTTCCCCTGTCAGGTCCCGGCCATCCTGTGCATGCTGCAAGCTGAGGCTTTGAGGGGAAAATAACACATCCCCTAAAAATAAGCCCTAGGGCATCTTCTTGAGGAAAAATAAATATAAGACACTGTCTTATTTTCGGGGAAACACGGTGGGGTTTGGTAGTCAGGGAAGAGGGATATTAGAATATTGAGTGGGGGGCTGGGCGCGATGGCTCACACCTGTAATCCTAGCACTCTGGGAGGCCGAGGCGGGCGGATTGCTCGAGGTCGGGGAGTTCAAAACCAGCCTGAGCGAGACCCCCGTCTCTACTAAAAATAGAAAGAAATTAATTGACCAACTAAAAGTATATATACAAAATATTAGCCGGGCATGGTGATGCATGCCTGTAGTCCCAGCTACTTGGGAGGCTGAGGCAGGAGGATCGCTTGAGCCCAGGAGTTTGAGGTTGCTGTGAGCTAGGCTGATGCCACGGCACTCACTCTAGCCTGGGCAACAAAAGTGAGACTCTGTCTCAAAAAAAAGAATATTGAGTGGGGGAAGTCATAAGAACAGAGCATATGGGCGGAGCACTGTAGCTCACGCCTGTAATCCTAGCATTTTGCGAGGCTGAGGCACCTGTAACCCTAGCACTTTGGGACGCTGAGAGGATTACTTGAGGCCAAGAGTTTGAGACCAGCCTAAGCAAGAGCGAAACCCCCATCTTTACAAAAAAAAAGAAAGAAAAATTAGCTGGACGTGGTGGCCCTCGTGTGTAGTCCCAGCTACTTGGGAGGTTAAGGTAGGAGGATTGCTTGAGCCCAGGAGTTTGAGGTTGCAGTGAGCTGTGATAATGCCACAGCACTCTAGCTTGGGTGACAGAGTGAGACCCTGTCTCAAAAAAAAAAAAAAAATTTTGTAATTCGGTTTATTCAGCAAACATTAAGTACCTACCATGTGCTGTACATTTTGCCAAGCTTGGGAACTCAGATGAAGGAACTGCTTTGACATTAAGGAGTATATAGTATACTGGGGAAGAAGCATATATAATGAACAATTATGACGCAATATAGTAGAGTGACAGATATGCTCAGGCTGCAGTGGAAGTGCAGAAGAGGGATGCCTAATCCTGCCTAGGAATTCAGAAAGGGAAAGGAGAAGGTGAGATCAGGCTGATTGACATGGTAGGTTAACTATGTAAGCAAAGGATTTGAGACTTTATAATGTAGGAAATGCAAAGCCCTTGAAAAAATTTGAACAAGTGTTTTAGGGAGCTTAGTGAGTTGGTGGTATGCAAAATGAATTGGAAGCAAGGAGAACATTTGGAAGGCTAAATATGAGAAAGACTTGAATTAGAATTGTGGAGGAAGGCATGGGAAATCAGGGAAAAAATCATCAAGAGTAGATAGTGTTCTTCACTGACTTGTGAGAAATGAAAAAAAGATCATGCATTTACTCTGAACCTTGATATCTGGAAGATTAGTGGTGATGTTCAAGAAATAAGCATCAGGGAGAAGGTGAATGTGGTATTTTAAATGCCACCCAGAGGCTTACAGAGCCTGGTTCTTTGGGAACACACCGAGATAGTCTTTTAGCTCATGTCTCTCAGATCCCTCTACCCCCTTGTTGCCTCCACATCCAGGCCTAACTACTTTGGATTTTGATTGCAGCTCCTCCACCTCCACCACCCATGATCCGAAACGGTGCCAGGGATGCTCCGCCACCACCCCCACCATACCGAATGCATGGGTCAGAACCCCTGAGCCGAGGAAAGCCCCCACCTCCACCCTCAAGGATACCAGCGGGGCCACCACCTCCTCCACCACCACCCCTGAGGAATGGCCACAGAGATTCTATCACTACTGTCCGGTCTTTCTTGGGTGAGTAGCTGGTTGTTTTAGTCCCATAGTTTCTGTGGTGACTTCACTAACTCCAGTGCCTTGGCTGCCAGATGGCCAGGGTAGAGTGGGAATGCCAAATGGTATCCCTTCTTCACAGCAGTTCCCCTCCTGACTTTACCCTTGGGTCTCTAGCATCTCTGTTGGTTGCTTTGAAATAGATTTAAGTAATATCAGCAAGTGTTGTGCTAGCTCTAAACCCACTCTTGTGCTCCTCCAGGATCACTGTGTTAGTTTAGCTTTTAGGTCAGAGACTCTGTATGCTTTTTAGGATTGTTCAGAGAGGAATTATGTATCCTTCTAGGAAGCGGAGTTCCTTTCTGGCTCTGTAAAAAACAAAACACTATACAACATTTATCTGGTAATCAAAACCCATTAACTATAGCTGTGTTATTTTGAGGAAGTCACTTTACTTTTGGGGCCTCACTTCCCTTATCTGTAAAACGAGAAGGTTGACTAGATCAGGAACATATCAGATTAACTTTTCCGAGGTTACAAATGTTGGGGCTCCTACCTAGGAGATTCTAATTCATTAGTTCTGAGATGGAACCCTAAGTAAGGGTTATCCAGAGGTTATTGTTAGACCCTCTGTTGAGGACCCCTGGAAAAGATCTGTAAGGTCCCATGTAGTCCTAACATTCTGGGTTCTTTAATAGTTGCTTTCCTCCCCCGTCCCCCATCCCCCTTGTTCCATGCTGTTCCCATTAGACCGGGGGTTTTGCTTTAAAGATATATCCTCATTGTAGAAACCTTTGGAACATGATCAAGCCATACCTTCTTGTGGAGAGCCCATAGAAAATGGGAGTGGAGGCCAAGAGATGGTTGTCCCTACTGTTTTGCATAGCTAAGTGAGGGAAACCTGGGTTGAAAGGGAATTATCTAGTCAAATCTACTAGCTGGAGCTAAATAGTCCCTTTTTTTAAAATTAATTAATTAATTTGTTTATTTATTTATTTTTGAGACAGAGTCTCACTGTGTTGCCCGGGCTAGAGTGCTGTGGCATCAGCCTAGTTCACAGCAACCTCAAACTCAAGTGATCCTCCTGTCTCAACCTCCCGAGTAGGTGGGACTACAGGCATGTGCCACCGTGCCTGGCTAATTTTTCTATATATTTTAGTTGGCCGATTAATTTCTTTCTATTTTTTAGTAGAGACGGGGTCTCGCTCTTGCTCAGGCTGGTTTTGAACTCCTGACCTTGAGCGATCCGCCCGCCTCGGCCTCCCTGAGTGCTAGGATTACAGGCGTGAGCCACTGCACCCAGCCAATAGTCCCATTTTAAATTAATTTCTACCAATTTGTGGATTCAATTCAGTTGGTTTCACATGGTGACAGTCCCTAAGATGACCATGTTATTGAAGCACAGAACTATATTTCTTTCTGCTTCCTTGTAAACAGCTGGGCTCCTTTCCTGTTATGTGCCTGATTTTTAGTGGAAAGGTTTAAAGAATCAGCTCAAAGACTCACCCCTTAATGTAGACAGCCTTGAAACACACCCTCTGTGTACACACGGCATATAGGGTGATGCTGCTGCTGTTCTCAGGAGCCTTGTTTTAGTGGGTGAGGCAGGCCCTCGCAGCACATCAGAATGCACGAGAGATAAGTAAGCAAGGAGGGTCGCGTAAGTGCCCAGAAGTCTGTGGTAGCACAAGCCAGGGTGATATGAATTAATATTTCGGTTTTTTTGCAGATGATTTTGAGTCAAAGTATTCCTTCCATCCAGTAGAAGACTTTCCTGCTCCAGAAGAATATAAACACTTTCAGAGAATATATCCCAGCAAAACCAACCGAGGTGAGAATGGTAGTAAAGAAAGTTTTTCCATAATTGCATAGAATGTTCAATTTGTTTTGTTTTCTTTGGTTAAAATGTACTTCTCTTCATCTTCATTTTCTTTTTCTATTTTTTTTTTTTGAGACAGAGTCTCGCTTTGTTGCCCAGGCTAGAGTGAGTGCAGTGGTATCAGCCTAGCTCACAGCAACCTCCAACTCCTGGGCTCAAGCGATCCGTCTGCCTCAGCCTCTCGAGTAGCTGGGACTACAGGCATGCGCCACCATGCCCAGCTAATTTTTTCTATATATATTAGTTGTCCAACTAATTTCTTTCTATTTATAGTAGAGACGGGGTCTCACTCTTGCTCAGGCTGGTTTTGAACTCCCACCCTCGAGCAATCCGCCTGCCTTGGCCTCCCAGAGTGCTAGGATTACAGGTGTGAGCCACCGCACCCAGCCTCATCTTCATTTTCTTAAAAAACCAAAACAACAACTAAAACTAGTCCATAGATTATTTATTTATTTTTTATTTTTTTTGAGATAGAGTCTCACTCTGTTGCCCAGGCTAGAGTGCCGTGGCATCAGCCTAGCTCACAGCAACCTCAAACTCCTGGACTCAAGTGATCCTCCTGCCTCATCCTCCCAAGTAGCTGGGACTATAGGCATACGCCACCATGCCCGGCTAATTTTTTCTATATATTTTTAGTTGGCCAATTTCTTTCTATTTTTAGTAGAGATGGGGTCTTGCTCTTGCTCAGGCTGGTTTGAAACTCCTGACCTTGAGCGATCCGCCTGCTTCAGCCTCCCAGAGTGCCCAGCCCTAGTCCCTAGATTTTAAAGGTTAGCGTAAAGAGCCTTTCTCTCATTTCAAGAGTGTTTAGGTTCTTCAGAGTCTGGTGGATGACCTGTATGTGTTTAGTTTTTATTTTGTTTTTTTTCAGCTGCCCGTGGAGCCCCACCTCTGCCACCCATTCTCAGGTGAAGCCTGGCTTGGTCCTGTTCCTCAGGAAAAGGATGGACCTTCTCTTCTTCTCAGATGGTCCCTTCCATTCCCCGGAAACCTGCATGAGAGCTCCTAACATGTTTCTCCAGTGCAACCAACCCTAGACTCCAAGCGTCCTCCCAGCTCACCTCCATCTATGCATCTCGTCTCTGGACTTGGTGATTGGACTCTTGATAGTGATATAGGGTCTTATACCCTGCATCTATCCTTCCTCTAGCAAGGCCTGCTAGCCAGATGAGGAAAAAGCTTCTGTATCTCCTGCTTTCCTCTTGGGGAAAGGTGCCTTGTTGTGATGAATTAACTTATTGCTGGGGCAGGGCAGAATGATACTCCTTCCTCCTCCTCCCCACTGTGGGGGAAGCCTGGCGGGTATATTATATTTCATCATTTAGCAGTTTGGCATGGCCAGGACTTCTAGGTGGCAGGGGAGCATTTTTAGTGAAGCAGGAAAGGAGTTTGCAGAGAAGTGATCTGTTTTAAAGGTCAGGTTTGGAGAAAGGGCAAGGAAATGGGTCTCCTTTATTTTTAGGGGTATTTTGGTTTTGTTCTCACCCTATCCCCCAGCCCAGGAATAATTTAGACATAAACACTAAAAACTAATCAGTTGAACTAAACATTTAATAAAAAGAGAGGGTGAAATAAACTGAGTCATTTTAGAGCTAGTCAGTTCCTCTGCAGCAAAGGGACCACGAGCCATTTGAGTCCCTTGGGACTCCCTGCCCCATTTCCTCAGGGTGCTAGGCTAAGGGATTTTTCCTCCCCCCATCCCCCACCTCCCCATGACTTTTCAAGAGAAAAGTCACTTGTGGGGCATCATTCATTCCTGACTCACAAACCCCAGAAACCTGTGGTGGGAGAGAGGGAGACAGGGCCTTTGCCTGGGCCTTGGCCTTACCCTCAAGCTTGAGTCTGCCTCAGTCTTTTCCAGCTGGCCCTGAGTGGTCAGTGGTTCTTTCAGTCCTTTAGCCCCTGGAGGGTCCTACAGGATGACAAAGAAGGGAAAGATGAAGCACCCATGGAAGGGTCTGGCTCTGTGGGCCACAAAGGACTTTAAACCCTGCTTGTACTGAAGCTCACAGCCCATCTAACTGAGCAGACTCTTCCTTTCTCCACAACTCTTGCCTTCCCAATACCGCAGGGGTTAATACAGTAGAGTAGAGAAGGCTGAGGAAGTAAATTGAAGCTTATGGGGATATTCAGAGATTCCTCTATGCCAAGAAGCACAAAGATGTTGGTGAGGTGTGCCTCAGTCCAATAAATCTTCCTTGGCAGGCAGCAATATGTTATTTCTTCGTCTTCCAGGTCCTAGTTAAAGAGCACAGAGAAAATGGAGGTTCCTAATTTAGGTAGGAACTGAGGTTGGATGAGAAGACAGGGACCAGCAGTAGGGTGGAGCTTCGGGTTTCAAATACCAGATGCTTTGCTTTGCTACAGCTATTGTCACATGTAGAGGCAGCTCAAAGCTTGGCATGAGAGGAGGGAGACTGTGGCTGTGTTTTAAAATGAATGGGGAAAATTAGTTTAAAAATTTCACCAGACACGTCACAGGCTTAAACTGCCTTAGGGACCTTTCCAATTTATTGGATCACAGGCTAAGGATCTGTGCCTGGTGCCAGGTGAGGGAGGGCTCAACTTGGGTTATTTGTATGGAGTCTGCTATCTTTTGCCATCCCCTGGACCACATTGACTCTTGGGGCAAACTATGATTAAGTCTCTCACCAAACTTTTTCTAATCATGCTTTATTTATCATTCTTCTTTTCAAGTCTGTTAGCAGTTATCTCCCAGAAGTGTCCCCAGCGTCTGAAGTAGACTGAAAGAGGGGATGCTAGTGGAGGGGAAAGGGGGGAGGGTAAGTGGTGATGCTGCAGCAGAGTTCCAGGGTAGATGCTGACAAGTTACTGAACTTTGACTGTGAAGTCTTCCCATTTATTTTTGAAATGGGAGGTGATGCCTTTTGTACAATGTTATCAAAGTGTGTCTTCCCCCCCCCCTTACTCATACATAGAGCATCAAAATATCACAAGTAAAGCCAAACCCCAGCTTTTCACTGGGGCTTATATCTTCCTTCCCATGACCTGCTGCCCCTCATACCCTCAGCATTTGGACTGTGTCACATGGATACTGATTATGTATTTGTTATCTTGGCCTCATGAAAATAGGCCCAGGTCTAGATCTAGTCAGATGGGTTTTCTTCTTCAGAGCATGTCGATGACACAGCACTTGTTTAAATGTCTTTGCCTTATACATTATTTGGTCCCACTGTTAATATTAGATATATTATCATGTATATTTACTATTGAAGATGGGAATGTGATCCTCATAGTTACTGGTCTATTTTGTATGTTGTAAAAAGCTTATAATATAGGTTTAAGGTGGGCTGGCTACAAGAGCACTAAAACTACTCACCTTTTTAAACTGCTCTTTTTATTATCTGCTTGTGGGAATGTCGTCTCTTCAGTGGAACATTGGGTGGTCTCATGTTGAGACTGTTGCCCAGTCCCATTAATCCCTTGTCCCCTCCTGGAAGAAAGAGACGTTGCCCAGCTAAGCATCAGGAAGCTGTATTAAAAGCCCTTTGTATGGGTTTGGTTTTGTGATGTTTTTCCCTAGTGGGAAAAACTTAACAGTTGTTTCATACCTCCCTATCTGGGAAGCAGGGCAGTGGCCTCCGGGTTTTTAAATGAGCTAGGTGCCCCTTTTCCCCCCTTTTTCTCTGGTCACCAAACCTGGACCAAAGCACTTTGATATTCCAGGTGTGGTTTTCTCTGTCATGGGGATTTGCTCCAGCTGTAGTGCCCTATCATTTTCACAGCCTAGGCCAGCGGAGAGAGCCTAGGGCTACCCCATTCGATGAATGTGAGGCTGCTGTCTCCAGGAATTCATCCCAGCTCTCCCAACTGGCAAAGACAAGGAAACTAGTCACTGGTCATTGCACCGGGGGAATCCCCTCATCCCACGCTTCCCAACTTGAAATCCCAATTTACCTCCAAGGAGAGGTGAGAAAAAAGTTGTAAATAGACTTGCTACAGAGCAACTCAGGGTTGGGGTGTGTTTTAATTCTCCTGATCACTTGAAATAATCTGTAGGCCGAGTGCTTATGGGACTGGGGGAGAAGTGTGACTCCAGGGTTCTTCCCTTCTGTGAAGCTCTGGGGGTGGAGTGTAGGGCATCGAGGCCCTCTGATGGCACTACACTGAGCTGTCTGTCCTTCTGGAAACCCAACCTGTGATCAACTGCAGATCAGATTCTTCACATTCCAATTGTAGTCTTTCTCTCTCTATTGAATCTCAGTCCCTGGCTAAGTGGTCACGGTGGCCTTCTGTTAAGCCACCCTAATTTTGGGAATGGGAAGGGAGAGAGGAGTGTCCTTAAAACTCTGCCTTCAAGACTCATTTCTTATAAACACAACAAAACAATCACCTTCAAAACCACATGCAAAAAAAAAAAAAAAAGAAGATAGCTGTTTAACCGAAGGAAAGGTTTGGCTCCATTCAACTCCACGTTCATTGTGCCTTTACTTGTGTTAGTTTTCTGTGCTTTCTTCTCTCCCCCTTTGAAGCAATTAAAATCTTCCTTGATAACTGCTGTTTTCTTCTTTCTACTCTTGTTTCTCACAACGTCGTGGGTTCCTTCTCTAATTGTCTTAAATCTCATTCCACTGATGGCAGAGGGGCCTCACCTTCTTTTCTCATGTCTAACCTTCGTCCTTTTCCACGGTGCCTGGCATGGAAGTCACAGTCAACACTGAATAAAAAACTAGAATGACACGTGTGTGTGCGCGCATATGTGTGTGTGCGTGTGTTCATCTGTATGCATGTGGATCAGTTTCTTTCAAAAATAATTTATTGTGTGATTTATTTTGCTGTTTCCATTTTTTTTCTTTTTTACCCAGAAGTTGCTGGCATGTATGATTTATTTTGGAATTACACTCTGATTACAGTGCTCCTTCCAAATAGCATTGATTTTTTTTTTTTCTCCCTCTAAAATGTATAATCTGGTCTCAGGTTGGATCTTTGGTACATTTCCTTCTTCTGGATGCCGTGCAGTTTAATTAAACCTTGCTTAAAAACAAAAACAAAAACCTGAAAACTGTGTCCTCTTGTCTGGAATACAGTCTCAAGTGATGGCATAGAGAGGGTAGAAAATCTGTTGCCTCATTTTCTGTGTAAGTGTAGTGGTTTGATTCCAGGTCCCATCAGAAAGTAGATGTTCTGACTTTGGCAGAATCATCTGCAGTTTCATGAGGGTTTTCTCTCCTCCACTCCTGCTATATTTTAAAAAATCACAGTTCTTGTTATCCTTGCTGAGAGATTCTGAGAGTCCTTGTGTTTCCACCTAACTCCCCTTTGCCCACGATTTCAGGGAACTCAGGAGGCCCCCTGGCCTTGTGTCCTTTTCCTTGTGTCCCTTGCAATTCTTTCTACCTGTGTTGCATGGCAGGTTCTCAAATTGAGTAGAACAAAAGGTGGGGGCAGAGCATACAAACTGTGTGTATCTATTTTTATATGGGGGCTGGCTGGTTTTTTTTGCCTGCTTTTTAAAGCTGACATCTTAGCTTTTTTTCTTGAACTTTGACTTTAGCTGTAAAAATTCAACCAGACATTCTCTGCTTACTGTGGTCAGCTTACATAATAACCACTAAGGCTTAATGTCCTTAACTTGCACTTTTATCACTAGCAAAGGTCTTAATGGGTTTGTGTATGAATCACTCACGTAATTTAGATATAAAAACCTGTGAGGGTGAGGGAGGGAGGGAGGGAGGGGGAAAAAGACTATTCATTTTCATCCATACTTACCAGACTGGCTGAATCCCTGATTATTTGACCCATCATTGTTATTAATATGATTAATAAACTACCTATTTATTGATTTAGTTGTTCCTCCTGACTTTAAATAGTCTGCAAATGGAGCTTGCCTAAATGATCCTTTTTTCTTTACCTTTTTTCTATTTTTACTTTTTATTTCTTTTTGTTGTTTTATTTGTATCTTCCTAGATTATTTTCCCTTACTTTTTTTCTTGCAGACACTGCCCTGAGCATTAAATGACCCTTAATTTGCTAACTCCATAAGCTTTCTCTATCTTATTGGGATGGTTTTTCTGGTCTGTGTGTGTATGCACACACACACTCAAACAGAAGGATGCCAGACAGGTCCTTACAGTGTGATTTGGTTCCTCCTCCATAATATTGTGTGTATGAGTTAGCAGGTGTTAAGGACACTAGTTTGCTCACTTTATTACTGAGGCACAGCTGCTTGCCATAAATATATCTCCTAAGTATTTCCTGACCCAATCCAGCCGTAAACTGAGCGACTCATTAGAAGGAAGATGCCTGTCTCTGACTTCCTCGTACTCTGCAGACAGAGGTAAGAGAACTATGAAAAATGAACTAGAAATAGAAAAATGTCAACCTCAGGATCCTGACCACCCCAGAAGATAACTGAGAAGATGCTTCGCCGCTGACATCTCTGAAGTCCAGTCTGGATCATTTTTACACATAATTGATTCATTCTGCCCTCCTGGGTTTAGGGGTGTGAGATTTAAGGGGCTCTATGCTATCCAACCGCAAGAATGTTTATGCAAAGGATGGATGTCCACTTGGCAGGAATATGCTTTCCATTCCTTCATTCAGCAAGCATTTATTGCATACTTTGTACCAGGCATCTACAATACAAAGATAAATAAGACATGGCCTTTGCCTCTGAGGAGCTCATTGCTTAGTAGATGACTTTAGGACAGCTTCCAGGAGAAACCTATGCAGGGTATTAAAAAGGCTTTATGAGAGTGACCCAGGGAATAAGGATGGTGAGTGTCATTCCAGAGGGGAAACAGCAAGAACAAAGGCATAGAAGCGAGAAACAGTATGATGGTGTACCCATCATGCTACTGGAGCATACTTATTCGTGACAAGGGAAAGTTCCAAGTAGATAACCTTTTAGAGACCTTTCAAACCTGACTTTCTGTGATCCTTTGCTTCTACAGTGGTCATTTATTCTGTAGGCTTTTCTTGGGCCACTGCTATATTTCCTGGTGAGTGCTTTTATAGGCTCCAATACAGCATATCTGCTTTCTCTGTCCCACTGTCATGGAGGTAGGTTGTTCACCACCACCATCACTTAGAGCTGGCTGGACATACTATCATTTGAGGTTTTAAGGGTAATTTTTAGGTGCCCAGGTTTTCAACAGTGAAGGTTGCTTCTTGGGTTCTATTGTCCCATTAAGAGATCAGAAATACCGTCTAGTCTAAAAGCCTTCATTTTGTGCTCTTTTCCCATTCATAGCCTGTTCTCTTCACTTCTGCAGTTTTCAGCTGCTAAGAAAGCCTTCCCAAAATGTACTCCACCATCTCTTCCTGTTTAGAACCTACATCTGTCTAATCATCTCCCTGTGATTAAGTGTTTAAGAGTCTGATTTTCTGTCAGACTTTGGAGTTCAAATTTCAGCTCTTCCCCTTACTAGTTGTGTGACCTTGGGCAAGTTTATTCAACCACCTCTACTTCAGTTTCCTCATTTGTAAAATGGAAATACCAACTTCGTGGGGTGCTTGTGAAGATTAATAGGTGACATAGAGAGCTCAATCCCTGGCATACACTTAAGCAACTCAATATTAGGTCTTAGCTCCTACATGAACTAAGTACAATCAACTGATGATTGTAATAGTTGCTTTTCTATTTCTCAGCTTTATGGCTCTATTTTATTTGATATTGAAGGATAAAAGATAAATGTTTACCATCACCTAGAATTGTATTCTGGCCTTTAAAGGAACCTGAGGCTTAAATGGGTTATTAGCTTTGGAAGATGGCCTGCAAATTACTGCTTTAATTTATATTTTTCATTAAAAGCTCAGCTTGCCTCTTCTACAGCTGTCTTCCCTGGCCCTGAAACCCTAGTGTTTAGCCATAAAAGGTTTTAAAATTAAGGGGCCATAATTCTCTTCATTCCCTACAATGTGTGGATTAATGGTAAGAAGGTACACAGAATATAATAATCTTATCTTGAACAACATAAAAAAGGGTTTAGTCCTATTTCTCGCCTTTGAAGCACAAATTAAGAGATACAATGTAGTTTGTTTTCTTTACATAGGTGTGTAGAACTTTATGAAAAAAAAAAACACTGGTTCAAGTGTCAGGAGACCTTGGTCCTAGGCTCTTCACTGCCACCAAGATGCTGTGACCTCTAACCCTTTGCACATACCCGGTATTTGCTTTGTGCCTTGGAGGGTTAAGCATTAGAGAGTTTAAGTAAAGCGCATAATATCATACCTGGCGCACAGAACCGCCCCCCCAAAACGGTAGGCATTATGTAGTAGCTCTCTGAAAATCTAGCCCATCAGGATAATGAAAATGGAACGTTTGGCGGTGAGAAAGGGGAACCACATCATAAGACACCGCCAGTCGAAATAAGTGTGCGGAAATACAGTCGAGTCGGGTAAAGACTACACCTCCCGTCGGGCATTGCGGCGGCGTCTGTCCGCCTTACCCAGAGTCGCCCTGTCTAAATTGCGCGTGTCTTTCCGCGGAGGCCCCGGATGTAGACCTTCCAGCTCAATGGGCGTAGCTTCACGTTGGCTCTGAGACCTGGGGCGCTCTCATTGGCTGTGGGCCTTCTAGCAGGATTGGACGCGAAAGAAGGGGCGGTGCCAAGACGCAGGGCGCTATAGCAACAGCCAGTCAGAAGCGAGGCCGGGCTTTGGCGGGAGGTGGGAACGCTGTAGTTGAGCAGATTTGGCGCGAGCGCGGCTGGTGTGTGGTTTACTCAGGATCTTGCGGAGAGTCCCTGAGGCCGTGTGTGAAACGTTAGAAGGAGCCTGCACTGAGGTGAGGCAGCCCTGTGAGGTCAAAAGGAGAGGATTGCTCTGGGAGGCCTGGCGACTAGGAGGCAATGGAGTTGGGCGAGGGCTGGAACGAGGGCTGCGGATTCCGCTAGGCCTGAGGACAAGGGAGCGGAAGAGAGCTGATATCGCTGGAGGTCTGAGGTCGGGGTCAGGGAGGGGCCTGTGCACCCTCAGAGTAGTTCCTACAGTTGTGTGTGGTGTGAAGGAGATGAAAGCTGTAGGAAGGAATGCCCTAGGGTGGGTTTGAAAGCTGTGTAGAGTGGAGACTGAGTGCAGGGTCAGAGGAAAGAACTGAGGGAAGAGTGAACTTCACAGTGAGGGCTTGAGTGAGACTGTAAATGTGGCGGTCGCTGGGCTAAGCTGGTGATAATGGTACCCCGCAAGCCTAGAGTGGGGGAATTAGTACCATAAAAGTCAATTCAGATAATTTCTTATTGCATCGTTCAAGTGGTTAAGAACTTGGGTTCTGGCACTAGAATGCCTGGGGTTATATCCCTGCTTTCCTGTGACTTTGCGCCTCTGTGCATCTCTTCCATAAAACAAAGATAATAATAGTACCTACCTCTCAGGTAGTTGTGCAGCTTAAATGAGTTAATATATAAAATGCTTATTGCAGCATCTTACACATAGTAGGTAGAAAACAAATGTTAGCCATTATTGCATAGATTTGGGTGTGAGGCAGAACTGAATGCTAAAATATTGTTATATTTACTTATAAAATAAGTGTTGATCATCAGTATAAATAAATTCCATGTTGTTTTTCCTTCACTTTTACATATTGACTGGCTGTCCTGTTCTTTTTGTATCCAGCTGTGTTGCCATCATGCCTCAAACCCGATCCCAGGCACAGGCTATAATCAATTTTCCAAAAAAGAAATTGTCTTGGCCATTGGACATCAAACTAGGACCAACAAATGTCCAGACTATACCCTGTTCTCCCTGTGTAAAAATTCTGCCTCTCAGCCCCAGAAAACGTCTTGGTAAGCTATCCATTACATACAACTTTTTCAATAGTAGCTGTCAACCTTTCTTTTCTCGATAAGATACCTGTCCTTTGAAGGAGCTTTCTAAGTTGATTTGAGAATACTCTATTCGTTTTAGTTATATTCAGAATGGTTGATAAGTGCTTACTGAACTCCAGGGTTAAGCCACTTACTAAGATTACTTTGTGAACTACTTAATAGGTCTGATCTTCAATTCCTTAATACTGAACTTAGTTCTGTCAGTGTTTTAAATGACCTTGCAGTTACATGGTATTATGAAACTTGCCTCAATATTTGTGAAATTAAAAGAAAAAAATAGGTGACATTCTTGATATTTTCAGTCCTTTTCTTGTTTTAGAACAATAGTTCATAGTCCTTGCCTGTTTTAGAGCATTTGTTTCTAATGCAGGGTTATTTGGCCATATCTGGAGACATTTTTGGTTGTCATAGCTGAGGGAGTGGCATAGTGGGTAAAGGCCGGGGATGCTGCTAACATCTTACAATGCACAGGACAGCCTTCTGACAACTTGATTCAAGATGTCAATGGTGTCAAGATTGGGATATCTTGTTTTAGAACAATCTTAGAATTTCATCCCACTAAAACCCATTTGGTTTCTAACAAATTACCCTCTTATCCATGGGGGATACATTCCAAGACCCTCAGCGGATGTCTGAAATCTTAGATAGAACTGAACCGTATATATATATTTATACACACACACACACACACACACACACACACACACACACACACACACACGACCCTCAGCGGATGTCTGAAATCTTAGATAGAACTGAACCGTATATATATATTTATACACACACACACAGACACACACACTGTTTTTTGATCTGTTAACCAAGTCAGCTACCATACCAAGTGACTGATGGGCAGGTAATGTATACAGTGTGGATATGCTAGACAGAGGGATGATTCGTGTCCCAGGAAGGATGGTGCAAGATTTAATCATGCTATTCAACAGCTCACAATTTAAAACTTAATGCATTGTTTATTTCTGGAATTTTACATTTAATATTTTCAGACGTGGGGCAACTGAAACCACTGAAGGCAAAATCTAGGATAAAAGAGAAATATTGTAGTAAGATCAGTGGTGCCCTCTGGTGGCCAATATTTGCTTCTAGTTGAGAGAGCATTTTATTTTGGTGGTTTTGACTGAGGTTGAAATTCACCTCTTTAATAGGGGAGGTAGAGGTCTTTACAAGTCCATTTACTATCCACTGCTATCAATGACCACGTTTTGATTTTAATGTTTCAGGTGATGACAACCTATGCAACACTCCTCATTTACCTCTCTGTTCTCCACCAAAGCAAGGCAAGAAAGAGAATGGTCCCCCTCGCTCTCACACAACATCTAAGGGAAAGGGACGCAGATTGGTATTTGACAATCAGCTAACAGTTAAATCTCCTAGCAAAAAAGAACAAGCCAAAGTTCACCAAAACAAAATACTTTCCTCAGTTCAAAAAAGTCAAGAGAGCACAACAAATTCTAAGCAGAGATGTCCATTGGAGAAAGAATCTGCATGTATGAGACTGTTCAAGCAAGAAGGTTTGTTCTTATGTGGCAACTATTAGTGCAGCCATTGTAAACAAGGCTGATAACTACGAATGAAACCCAGTGGGTCTTCTCAGTCACCTTCTGTTGTGTCTAATTGACCTTTTATGTCTGGCACAGGTACTTGCTACCAGCAAGCAAAGCTGGTTCTGAATACAGCTGTCCCGGATCGGCTGCCTGCCAGGGAAAAGGAGATGGATGTCATCAGGAATTTCCTGAGGGAACACATCTGTGGGAAAAAAGCTGGAAGTCTTTACCTTTCTGGTGCTCCTGGAACTGGAAAAACTGCCTGCTTAGGCCGAATTCTGCAAGACCTTAAGGTACATTGACAGTCTGAACTATGATATTCTTGCTAAAATGACACTTGGTTTTTAAGGATTAAGGAAAAGTAGTTTAGGAGATTGAAGGTTTTCTCAAAATAAGACATTTGTAGTTTCATTGTCTAAATCTTTCCAAATGAAAGTAGAGTTTCCTCCTCTCTTATACACTGTTAACTCCTCAAAGACATTTCAGGTTCCATCAAATCTTTATCAGAGGCCAAAATAACTCCCATGTTTGCATTTTTTCTAGAATGAACTGAAAGACTTTAAAACTATCATGCTGAATTGCATGTCCTTGAGGAGTGCCCAGGCTGTCTTCCCAGCTATTGCTCGGGAGATTTGTCAGGAAGAAGTATCCAGGCCAGCTGGGAAGGACATGATGAGAAAATTGGAAAAATATATGACTGCAGAGAAGGGCCCCATGATGTAAGTATTGCTCTGCTGCGTGTTGCTCTGTGAAAATCTGCAAGGGTTGTTGCCCACAAAAAAAACATTCCCTGTATTTGCTCTATGAGGGATAGTTACATATACTTAAAGGAAAAGAAGAAATGAAAAATATACCCTGTAATTTTAAATTGGAAAAAGTGTTTTTAAACTAATTGCTTGAAAATATCTGAATGTTACTTGTTCATGATGGGAGGTATCCTTGTAACAAGAGACTAGAGATAGGGTAAATTATGATCATCAAATTAGTCTCAGCTTTAGAAATTTGACCTAAAGTCAGCCCAGATCAGACTGGAGGGTTTGCCGGGCCCGATGACTCACGCCTCTAATCCTAGCACTCTGGGAGGCTGAGGTGGGCGGATTGCTCAAAATCAGGAGTTTGAAACCAGCCTGAGCAAGAACGAGACCCCATCTCTACTAAAAAAATAGAAAGAAAGTAATTGGCCAACTAAAAATATATAGAAAAAATTAGCCAGGCATGGTGGCACATGCCTGTAGTCCCAGCTACTTGGGAGGCTGAGACAGGAGGATTGCCTGAGCCCAGGAGTTTGAGGTTACTGTGAGCTAGGCTGATGCCACGGCACTCTAGCCAGAGCAACAGAGTGAGACTCTCTAAAAAAAAAAAAAAAAAGACTGGAGGGTTAAGAAGGTGAATGTGGATACTAATTGTTTCTCTTTGTATGCAGTGTGTTGGTGTTGGATGAGATGGATCAACTGGATAGCAAAGGGCAGGATGTATTGTACACACTGTTTGAATGGCCATGGCTAGGCAATTCCCGATTGGTGCTGATTGGTTAGTACTCAATCACTATTGTTACATGATGGTTCTAAAGGTTGTTTTTTTTTTTTTTTAACTCTTTCAACTTATTTATCACCTATCATTTTATCTTAAACCAGCTTTCTGTCTTGTCCAAATAAGAAAATTACTATAAAGTAGTAATTTTAATTTAAGGAAAATCAATTTTGTTAAGTCTCAATAGAATGATATATTCTTGCATTTCACAAGTAATAGATTTTTGGAGTATCTGGTCCTGCATATCAGTGAACAATTCTAAGCCTAACTTGAAACGAACATTCTATAATGACTATGTACATCTTACCTAATATCTATTGGGGTAGGGTAGGGGGCAAGTGGGAAGCAATAGTTGAAATGATGGATTATAACTGGAAATTTTATTTATCTTTCAGAGGGTTTAGATTTCCTTTTGGGGTGGTTTGAGCAATTGTGATTAATGTTATTAATCTCCTCCTCAGGTATTGCTAATACCCTGGATCTCACAGACAGAATTCTGCCTAGGCTTCAAGCTAGAGGAAAATGTAAGCCACAGCTGTTGAACTTTCCACCTTATACCAGAGTTCAGATAGCTACTATCTTGCAAGACCGACTTAATCAGGTGGGTACCAGCCATTCTGCCCATATGTTCCTTGGATCGCCTGTGTTGGGGAAACCTAACGATAGTTCTTTGATTGCTTTACTAATGGAGCAAGGAGTTCCTATGGACCATAGTGAGAATATTTTTATGTGAATTTACACACATGGCTCCATTCTTTTTTTTTTTTTTTTTTTTGAGACAGAGTCTCTCTCTGTTGCCCTGGCTAGAGTGCCGTGGCATCAGCCTAGCTCACAGCAACCTCAGACTCCTGGGCTGAAGCAATACTACTGCCTCAGCCTCCCGAGTAGCTGGGATTACAGGCATGTGCCACCATGCCCGGCCAATTTTTCTGTATATTTTTAGTTGGCCAATTAATTTCTTTCTATTTTTAGTAGAGACGGGGTCTTGCTCTTGCTCAGACTGGTTTCGAACTCCTGACCTTGAGTTATCTGCCCGCCTGGGCCTCGAGGAGTGGTAGGATTACAGGCATGAGCCGCCACGCCTGGTCCAGTTCCATTCATTTATTGGATGCTTCAGTGCTGAAATAAAAGTAGGAGTTAGAGGAGTCACTCAAATGCTTCCTTAATGGCCTTTAAAATGTAGGACCTAAAAAAACCTTTCTCTTTTGAAAGTGACTAAATAGATTTTTTTTTTTTGCTCCCATTGCTTTTTTAGTACCCATTGCTTTTTTCCATTCATGAACCTCTACCACATTCCTACAAAATGATTAAATGTGTGAAAACTCAAACATCTCCATTTATTTATGAGCAGAAAAAAACATCTCTTAGACCCTAAATAGTCGCCAATCAAGTTTAGACTTAAATGTGAAAATATTTATCCCTAAGACCTAAATTACAGAGGGAGAATCTTCTAATTCAAACTGTCATCTTCTGTGTCTTGTCCAAAGGTGTCTAGAGATCAGGTTCTGGATAATGCTGCAATTCAGTTCTGTGCCCGCAAAGTCTCTGCTGTTTCAGGAGATGTTCGAAAAGCACTAGATGTTTGCAGGTGAGTTATGGTACTGTTGGCTGCTTTTATTTAAAAAAGAAATGCTGTTAATTGTCTCATGTAACTCAAGTGAATGTGGCTTAAGAGGCTCCGTTCTGCTACTTTTTTATGCTCAGAAAGGAGGACTTGTTTCTCAGTGGGAAGCTGTGGGTTTCCACCGTGTTAATGTCTAAAACATTATCAGTCCATTACCTACAGAGGGAGAAACAAATGAGATGTTGCTGGCACTCCCTGTGGTGATTATAGATTGGTTAATTACATTTGTATTAAAAAAGACTCCAGTTTACTTTTCCATTAGCTGGTTTCAAGCAGGTTTATTTATGGACCTGAACCATCTTTGCCTTTAGACTTTTTTCTCTTCCTTTCCTTTTGTGAACACCCCTTCTTCCCTCTAGTTGGTGATCCCCCACAGTTGTACTCCAGACCTCTTTCTTTCTTCCCATCCCCCTGCCCCTCCTGCTGGGGAAAGCCTCTGCACTGACTGATGAAATTTCTTCCTTCTCAGTAGGGACACTGGGTCCATTAAAATGATACTTGCTGTGCTGGCCTGCTGGTCCAACCTCCCTCTATTGCCATGCAGAAGATCCAGGTCTGGCTTATGGCTTCCTGTGGGCAAAATACTTTGGAGAGAGCAGTGGGAGAGTAAGCTCTTCCTATTGCTAGATTGCATGATCCTGAATTTGAAAGTTTCCCCTAGTCAGCAAACTACTTGGGTAAAGACTGCAGCTATGAGCAATAGTTATGTAGGCTGGCATGGTTTAGCCTACACATATCCTATGTATATATAACTAAGGACACTCCTTTTAGGTTTGGTGTGTATGGGTGGTGCTGGCTGTCTTTAGTCAGTCACCCACACTACATATCCTCTCTCCTACCCATGACATTTTCTCTTCGCCTCAGATGTTATCATTGGCTCAATATATGACGACCTACTTGGCATCTATAAGAGGAAACCATTTAGTGTTGAAGTTTCTCAAATCTCTGGTCCATGAATTATTTCAAGATAATTAAGTCCCCTTTAGCTGAGACGTAACCCAGTTTTGTTTGGGGCTTTAAAATTATAAAACATATTGTTTCTCATTAGTGTGCCTGCTTTTGAGCTCAGTGGTTTGGTGTGGTGTTTGGTTTGGCTTAGACTAAATTAACTTTAGAAATTTTTTTATAGGAGAGCTATTGAAATTGTAGAGTCGGATGTCAAAAGCCAGACTATCCTCAAACCACTGTCTGAATGTAAGTAGTTTATCTCCTTCTGTCTTCCTTTTTAATTGGAAGCTTAACTTTTCTGAGGAAAGAGGTAGAAAGATCAAATGAACATAGTTAAATCCACACTCACTGATTTTTATGTGTGTCTGTGTTTTTAGACAATTTCAACTACTTTATTTCAGTTTTTGCCTTTCAGTACCAAACTCTATGCATTACTGGAAATGAGTTCCCAGTGTATTATATAAATGGCTGAAATGGAGTAAGTTTTCTTCCCAAGCTCTAGGAATGAAAGCTGTAGACAATAAATTTAGACCAGCTTCTCTCTGGGTGCTTATGTTGAGTGTACTTTAGGTCTTGATATAGGTGATAAATAAGAGAGAGTCAGGTGAAAGAATTTTGAGTTCAGTTTGGGATAGCAAAGCTTTTAAACAAGTCTGTGAGGGTAGAGGTACAAAGATCACCTTGCTACAGTAAACTGTAGGCTGTTACAAATGACAAAAAGGGCCATTTTGTTAGTAATATCCAGTGTTAATCTTTAGAAACAGGACAGTCTGATTTGATTGTTTTTTCCTTTACTCCTACACTGGTTAGGAGTTATTAAAATAGTTTCTAGTGCTATAGTTCTACATGAAATGCTTTCTTTTTTTCATCAACTTATTAAAAGAAACTAGTTAAAAATATTTCAGAAGTAGCCAAAATTAGTGCTTAGGCTGATAGTAAGCAATATATATGCCAATGCATAGACTTGAATATTGATTTCTTCTTCCTCTTCAGTTTTTCAGATTATTCCCTTTTTTCCCCTCCTTTTCCCTTACCAATAATGTTTAGGCTTGTGAGTGGCCTCTGTGATCACCACTGGCACACACATAGCTAAAAGAGGTTGTAAGTTCCTGGCATAAATTATAAGGCTAACCTAATTCCTATTTTTTGACTTTGGGAATGTGTAGGATTGGCTTTTAATGGGTTCAGAAAACTATAGGGGAACTGACTTCAACTAAACATAAGAAGAAACTTTCTAATAGATAGAACTAACTGGGCTATCTTGAAACATAGTTCCTCAGTATTGAAGATATTCAAACAAAAGCTGGATAGATGACCTCATGTAGGGATTGTTTTAGAGGGGATTCAGCCATTGGGTAGGGAGTAAGAATAGACCTCTAAATTCCTTTCAACTTTAAGATACTCTTACTTGATCTGTGAGCTCTGGTTTCTCCATAAGCCCTCTGCACCATCCCTTTGTGGTAATGAAATAGAAGAAAATTGTGGTGGTGCAACTGTAAGTGGTCTCAGGAAGTAACTTCAGGCAAAGGTTGTTACAGAGCAAATCTCTCATCTGTCTTGCAATTCATGCATCTCCAAACAATGAGGCCATAGTCCTATGCAGCTTCTTGGCAGTTTCCCAACCTCTGGCTTTTGAGATGCTGTTATCTGCTAGGATATCCAGTGACTTTTTCTCAAGTGTTGCTCTACCGCAGATCAGCTTGGGCAAGTGAACCAAACCTCAAAGGTCATTTGGGGAGGACTGATGTGGGATTCACTTTACTGTCCACATTTAGCCACTCATTTGATTCAAAATATTAGGTACGTTTTCCAACTTTTTTTTTCTTCCTTAATTACCAGGTGCAGTCATCATCTTTGCTTCAAGTTTCTGTTCTTCTTTACCTCTGAAATATTAGGAACTTTCAAGGCAGAATACAGTGGTTCTCTGTTCTTTATTCTTTTATGAGGTGGATTTTGTCTCTCTGACATTAAATTACATTCCACGAGACAAAATAGCTCACTATTCTGTCCAGAGAAAGGATAACTCTACCTTCCAAGTCATTTCACATTATTTTGGCATCTTTCTGAGGATAGCATTTTCTCTCATCCTTTGGCTGGTTAGAGAATTGAAATCTCTGCTTTACCACCTTGAATTTCCTATAGTTAAAAGTTAGTGTCATCTATCTCACATTCATACACATACACAAACATACATATACATACACACAATATTTTAAAATTCTAATTAAGTTTGACTTGTTTACTTTATAGGTAAATCACCGTCTGAGTCTCTGATTCCCAAGCAGGTTGGTCTTATTCACATATCCCAAGTCATTTCAGAAGTTGATAGTAACAGGATGACCTTGAGCCAAGAAGGAGCACAGGATTCCTTCCCTCTTCAGCAGAAGATCTTGGTCTGCTCTTTGCTGCTCTTGACCAGACAGTTGAAAATCAAAGAGGTCACTCTCGGGAAGGTAAGTTGGGGATCTCAGCAGATGGAGCTGAGGTAGAGATGAGAATCTGCTTTGCACAGCAGTTATTTTCCAAAAGGCCTATCATGCTCCAGCTGATGTGAATTAAAAATGGATTTTTTAACAGTAAGAATAAATACTGATAGTATATAAAAGGCAGCTGACTTTATTTCCCTTGGGTTGTGGTTGAGAGTTTACCATTAATCTTCTCCCCATCCTCCCCTTCATTTTTGCATCTCTCTATGAAATATACAAAGCCCCTTTGCTATATTACAGTATAGGTTTTTGGGAATATCTACAGATTGCCTATTCGAAGATTTTACTGAAAAAAGAAAGAAATAGGGTATTTGGATAACTTTTTTGCAAACCCTTTTGTAAAAATTATAATATTACAAGAGATGTGACATTTAAGCAACATTTGTTCTTTTTTTTCTCTCCCAGTTATACGAAACCTATAGTAAAGTCTGTCGCAAACAGCAGGTGGCAGCTGTGGACCAGTCAGAGTGTTTGTCACTTTCAGGTCTCTTGGAGGCTAGGGGCATTTTAGGATTAAAGAAAAACAAGGAAACCCGCTTAACAAAGGTAAGACTAACTGCTTCTTTGTGATAATGTTTTTAATTGTCCTGTGTTGGAGAGCTTATCCTTTGCTAAAGTAAAGATTGAAAAATGACCACAATTAAACAGTTTTTGTTAGATAAGATTTAAGGTGTGTTGGAGGATAGGAGTGTGATATGAATATTTTTTCTAGGTCATTGAAAAAAGCAGTGTTTCACTTGCTTGCCTCTTGTGAGAGAAGTTTAATATGGTAAAAGTTATATAATGATAACTTTGCTTCTGTGAGTTTTCCACCATGAAAAATCCCTTTCTCTTCTTTCCAGGTGTCTTTGAAGATTGAAGAGAAGGAAATAGAACATGCTCTGAAAGACAAAGCTTTAATTGGAAATATCTTAGCTACTGGATTGCCTTAAATGCTTCTCTTATACCCTACCTGAAAGTATTCAGCTGGCATTTAGAGAGCTACAGAGTCTTCATTTTAGTACTTTATATATTCAGGTCTGAAAACAAATATGACCTTTTTTACTTAAAACCAATGAATTTTAATCTATAGATTCATTAATATTGGCACAGAATATCTTTGGGTCTTATTTGTACCCATAAAAGTGAACAAGTAGACCCTTTTTAATTGCATTCATTACTTCTACCACTTATGTGTCTCTAACCAGTGTGCTTACAAGTGTACAGATTTGTGTTGTGGGATGTGTATATATCTACCTCTTAGTAAGAACTTTTAGGTTAAGGTAAGAAGAATGAAAAAAATGATCCAGAAAAATAAGCAAGTCCACATGGAGATTTGGAGGACAATTTGGTCCAAGAATTTTCTTTTATTGGAATATAATGTGTTCATGTTGCAGATATTACTGCACTGTGACATTTTAAAGAGTCATTGAGTTTCTTGAGCACTCCCAAGATTGTGGGCGTGGTAAGAAGAATGTAACTCCACAGATTGTGAATATATTTATTTTCAAGTTGCATTCTTTGTCTCTTTAAGCGATCACATCTCAAGAGAGCTCAAGCTTCCAGAAGGCAAAATTCCCAGACTGCCCCACAGTCTTAGCTGCCCTTAGATGCAGCCACTTGTTTCAAGATACCATAGTTTAGGGTTGGATTTTCATCTAAACATATTTTTCCAGTCTTATTAAATTAGTACATATGGTTATTCAAGATGACTCTTTTCTGTGTTTGGTTTCCAATGGCATTAAATGGCAATTTGTGACAGAGACACCAGAGGGCACTATTATAACATTGCTTTGATAATGCAGGGTTGGAGCTGGGGTAATTTTGAGGGAAGGTGGGTGGGGGAGAGTTCTTAAGTTTGATTTGTTTGGGAAATTGCTATACTTTTATAATTCAAGCAAAGGCTTGAAATGCAAACCATGTGTGATGTGAATGGTCTAAGAGGCAGTGGCCGAATGAGCTTCTCCCTGAGCTCTTCTGCTGCTGCCTCTTGCCTTTCTGACATGGCCTTGAGTTTGAGAACTTGATATGTGTACAAATGATCTGTTGGCCACTGTTTCATTCATCCTGCCCACTGTATCCTTGCAATATGATCTGAGCTACAGCAGGTGGTATGGGATAGAAAGGAAAGCAGAGAGAGCCCTCTGAAATGAACACTACCCACTGGTGTGTGTAGCAGTCTATAGACATGAGTCTGAATGTCATTCTCTCATACTCATTTATTAGAGCATTCATTCCCTCTGAGGGTAATTTGCAAGTGGGGAACACAGTTCTATACTTAGAAGATTGGAAAGTGTCTGGGACTATAAGGGTTAACAAGCATAATTGCAAAGATTGTCCGAAGGCTGATGGAAAGCAGAGACTGAATGGGATTGAGAACAGATGCGAAGCTTGATTTAAATTACATTTTATTGGATGCTGCAGCCTTAAGAGACGTGACTGCTTTACAGTTTGTTTCCACACTGTGGGCAGCTGCTGTCTGTTCTGTGTCCACAGTAGGATCCTGCCCAAAAAGGAGCAGCCTCCCCACCTCGTTGTGTTTGAGGCTTGGCGCCTTCCTCTTAACTGTAGGGCTTGAGTCAGGAACATAGCTTGACTCGCAGTGGGGCTGCTATGTATCCTCCCTGGCTTCCAGCCAAGATCACATTTGTGGATTCAAAGGGGCCAAATTTCTTTCCCTTCTACCTCCTTTCTCTCCCTTTCCCCTAGTATTTGGAAATAAGGTTTTCTGTGTACTGGTGTGTTAGTTTCCTTTCCTTCAGTTCTCCCCCCATTGTCAATTTCTAGGTCATTGCTGCTCTTAAGACTTTAGCAATTGGAACAGGGTTGGTTCTGTCATTGATGCGTGAAGCAGACTTAAAGTCCCTGCTTGGCTTCCGCTGCCCTTGTGGGAGCAAAAGCTGATATATGTTTGTCAGTAAAGTCTTAAGTGTAATTTAGACAGCTGGGGAAGAAAGCAGGAAGAAAGCCCTTTCCTTGCTGACTTTCTCACTGACGCTAAGAGCTACGGGAAGGTGGTGGGAGTTTTAGTGGGATGGGATGGACTTGTGTGGTTACTAGTTTTTGCCAAGATCATAGGCTGCTTCACATAGAGTAGTGGCAAAGATGCTGACCTACATTCTTCCTTTTGAAGGTGGTGGGGTGTGTGTCTATACTTTGGTTTATTCCCTCCTCCCAAGGAGATTAAGCTTCCACAGAGTGTTGGGTATTGCCATGGAAAGAACATAGACACAGTAAAGCTGGAGTGCGTTTCAACCCCCAGCTACCACTGACATTTCTGGCTCAATGAAAACTTGCCTGTGGCTAGCTAACTGCAAGACGTGTGAGGTCCAAGCTATCCAGAGATCAAAAAAGTTGGCAGAGCCCTATTCTCTCTCCTTCCCAATTGCTTTCTACCTTTATTAAGTGCCTTTTCAAGATACACCAATAAGAACTGGGAAGTGGGAATAAGATATGACTTAAGTTACATTTTTTAAAATATCTGTTGAGAGGTGTTACCTTGAACTAAGGGAGAACAAGAAAGACCCAAGATTGACATTTTATTTACATTTGTATCTGTCTAGGGATAGTAGTATAGTACCTAGTACCTGGTGGCTATTCAGTAATTGTTGAATGAATGAACGGGTCAATGAACCACATAAGATGCTGTCTTTCCCTCCATCTTGAGGACAATTCTAAGCTGAAGGTAAATATTGTTGGTGCTTTTGCACTGAGGTGGAGCAGGCCCCTGCAAAAGAAGGGTACTCCATCTTACAAAATGTGTCTTGGCACAGTTGTGAGCATTTATTAGCCTCACAGATGCCTTCCAATCACTCCCTCTGATGTAGTGGTATGTTGCTTGAGGCAACTTCCATGTTCCTGTTGGGAAGCTTTGGCTATGGGGGAGAGAGTCATATCTACAGGCTGGTTTAGACGGATGGCTGTGTGGATGTTATGCAGTGTCCCTAGATTGGCCAGAAGCTGTGCCTCTAATTGGCAAAGGTTTAGTGAGAAACTCACCTTTGATGTCCCACTTTTTAACTTTTGGGAAAAGTTGTGATCCAGGGTTCTTCCTGAAGAGATAAGGTGCCCTATAAAACACATTTCTTAAGCTATAAACAGGGCAGGTCTCCCTCTTCTCAGGTGCATTCCCTAGAGGGGAAGGTGTGCCTTCTGGCCTCCCCTTGATTTTCAACCCCAGCACCAAGGCACTGGCAGTAGAAGGTAATTGGGTGCAAGGGGCCTGAGTAAAGGCTGAATACTGGCGAACGGAGAGAGCCAGCTTCATTTTTTAAAAAGCTCTAATTGAGTTCTGAATCAGCCTCACTCCCTTTGATCCCTCCTCTGTTTCCCACACTGCCTGAAAGAGCTAGATCAGCACTTTATAACAAGGGTGCGCCTGCTCCCCGCGCCTGCCCCTCCTCTCCTGACGCTCTCTGCTGCCGCCATCCACTGCTTGTCTCCTTCAGTTAAGATAATGAAGATGCTGAGAGATAAAATGTGTATTTAATAAGGGTGGGGGTAGGGAGGCGGAAAGGGGCAACCAGGGCCTTCCCTACTTTGGGGCCTCGCCAAGACTTGAGCTGAGAGCAAAGCTAGAGTAAGACTTGGCCCCAGGGTGTGGGGGTTTCTGGGCCTCAATCCAGCTGACTTCACTGCCTGCTGTTTGCCCTAAATTCCCCCACCTCCACCCTCACCCCCACACTCCTTTCTTTCCTCTCTTCTTTCTCCCAGTGGGAAAAAAAGTCTTGCTTTGACTTTCTTTTCAGCTGGTAACCTGGCCCTTGGTGCCATGCCCCCCACCCTAGTCAGCTACAAGGTCAGGCAAGGGCAGCCCCCTCTAGCCTAGGCCTGTAGAAGCTGTGGGTTCACAGTGGGGGGGTGAAAAAGCTGGAGTTAATGAAGACCAGCTGCTAGTCTGGGTTCTGCCTACAGCTAGCTGGAGGCCAGCCTTTGGTAGTGGTTGGGGGTGGGGGTGACCTCCATCCAGGGCACAAGGATATCCTGTGGTAGCTAGGCTTGTGCTTCTTTCTGAGCTTGGTTTTATCCTTAGTTTGTAATAGAGTAGTCTATTTCCTTCTTCCCCTACTCCTCCCCTCCCCAAATAACACTCAGCCCTTATTGAGCTTTATAACTGTAGTGGTGGCCCAGCTGAGATCTGAGGATCTCCAAGTGTTTTGTAAACACTCATTAACTGCCTGGGAAGAACCAAGAGCCCTGTTTAACAGCTGGGAGAGAACTGAGGCACATTAGGGTGAATGGCTTGACCTAAGTTCACCCCATGGACTCCACCCTAGGGCCCTCCATCCTTACTGTCTAACTCCTTTCCCCAGATCTTCCTGCGAGGCAGAGGAGGAGGTGGAAGCATTGCTGTCCTCCCTTCCCTCAAGGCTGTCCCTGACTTCCTCTGGCCCTTTTCCCCATGACATTTTCCCTGCTCTGCTGCTGGAGATATGTGCAACTCTCCTTGCAAAATGTTCTAAATCCAGACCTTTGCAGACTTCTCATCTGCCTTTTCCTTGCCTGTCTGGCCTGCCAGACCTGAATTCTCCCTTTTGAGCTACTGAGAAGGTTGACTATCCTAAACTAAGTCAGTGACCTTGAGTTGATCTATTGCATTAAAAGGTCCCTCTGCCCCCATATTTATCCCAAATGGTACCTGGGAAAATATTGTCTCTTTAACTTGTTCTTTCTGGTAGTGAATATTCAGGATCCTATTGAGGGAGAGATTGATAGGGGCGCTAGTTGATCTCTATCTTTTGCATCCTGTTCTCCCACTGATAATTGCCATTTATAGTAATGGATGCAGCCTGAAGTCCTCTTTTGTTTTGTTTTGTTTTTCCCCTTCTCCCTCAACCCTACCTTCTTCTACTCTTGCCTGTATAACCACACACAGATACACACACCTCCAGCTAAATATATAAAACTACCCATTTCCAACTGCCATCTAAGTCATCCTGTCTCTTTTACTTGCTGCAGATCAGGTCATCCTCCCCCACCCCATGGCCTCCTACTCACTTAGGAATAGTGGGTAGGAATGAGGAGACTGCTGTAGTCTG